CGACTGCAAAATGACCACATGACTACAGTGGACTATGGTGAGCAGTTAGATCTCATTGTTTTGAAGTAAATGTGTCCCAAAGGCTGAAAGTCAGTGTGGAACATTAATAACTGTCACCACTGAAGCATGAATTTTCTGCAATTAAGTCATTTTTTTGTGTTTTAAAGAAAAACATGATTTTCTGTGTGAACAGCTGTTTAAAGCTGTGTTTGCTGGTCATGTACTGGCTGCATTTTTGAGTTCTGCTCAAAATGAGCTAAAATTGTCGCCACCAAAACAATCACTACTGAAAGTCGGTAGAGTTATGATTGTTTTGTTAGTGACCAAATGGAAAGTTCAGTCATTTGTTTTAGTAAAATAAACATAAAATAAGCATAAGTTGTAAAATGAGTTGTAGCATCACTGAAAGCAAAAGGATTTTAATCCAAAGTCCAGAACAGTTAAACACAAAGCCAGTGTTTTCCACTCTGACTTTGAACCAGTCCAGCAGATTGATCCGTATAGGCCATTTATACAGTGGTGTCAGAGGACGGCTGTGCTCTGTTTAGTCTAAAAATAATAGGGTACTTCATTCAGAAATGCTTGTGCATGTTAACTTAAGTTTGTTTAGTTCAGCTGCATTTATTCACTGGGTTTATTCTGCTGTGGTCTCTTATTGTAAAGGCAGGGCTAGGAACTGTGAGGGCTATGCCGAGAGCTAGCCTTAGAACGGGAGCCAGTTAACAGTAAGAACCAAGAGCTAGACTTCGACTTGTGTTTTCCCCTCTCTGTCTGAGTTATGGATCAGAACCTCGAATCATCCAAGTTTCTTCTGAGAACCCCCCACGTCACAATATTATACACTTTGGTACTATATAGAACAACAGTTTATCTAGAGAAAAAACATTTAACCAGACAAAAAAACACTCAAACTGCCCTTTGAGAGGTCATGGTTGTAACCCCAACCCTCCTCCTGGAGAGCTGCTTTCCTGCAGAGCTTAGTTCCAACCTGCATCTAAAATGCTGTCTCGTCCTTACCTGACACTAATGCATCTGATCCAGCCAATCAGGGACTTCTGAAGAAGCGAATTAGCTGAAGCAGGTGTGGCAGATAGACACTGGAGGAAGGTGGAGCTCCAGGGCCAGGGTTAGTGACCACTGCTGTAGAATAATGCAGAGTCAGACACTAATAACAACAGTGATTAATTCCTTAGTTACTGAATAATTCAGAGCTTACTCCTCTAAACAGACCCTGAGAAACAATCAGTATCACACAGGTTACTATGGTTAAACCTATACAGACTAACTGACAAGCTTCTGTAGACTGCCTGCATCAGTGGTGGACAGTAAGTAAATGTAATTCTTTACTGTACTTAAGTAGTTATTTTTGTGTATCTGTACTTTACTGAAGTTTTTCCATTTTGGGTGACTTTTTTCTTTCACTCCACTACATTTCAAAGTCTAATATCTCACTTTTTACTCCACATTATGAAATCTGTCGTTCCCTTTGGTTTCTGTGTGTATAAAAACATAACATGTCAAAATGAAAGTAGTGCAAAGCCAGAACACCAATCAGGGCACAGCGCTCACTTTGTTTTGAGCTTGTTTTGACCTGTTGGCCATACCGACCCAGTGCAGCACACGGTTCAACATCAGTGCAGCAGCATAACATTTTGGGAGAGTCTATTCAACATAAATGATGGATCTAACCTAACTTCAGTGAGTGACGCACACACAGGGGAGGGACGAGGCGAGACGTAGCAGTCAGAGAAGAAAGTGAGTCAGAGGGAAGTTATTTCACATGGCGCGCTCTAAAAGAGAAAACTGACAATAAATGTTGTTGAAATATGACTGAACTGTACTTCATTTGATGTGACATTCAGTTGTTGACTGTATAAGATGTTGATATACCTACTAGGCTACTTCAGTAAACAGTCTATGGCACTGAATCATGACGCAAGTTAGACATTATGATGTTCTGGACCTTTGCTTGAGGACATTTTCTCTAACTGAACCTTATTGAATTGTAATTAAACACCCCTTAACTACATACTTCGGTGCAAGTTTCACACATGCATCTCTGGAAGAATGGAGATGATTGTGATGAAGCTCATTGTTTATTGTTCTCTGTGTAACTGTTGTTCCTGCTGCTTTCAGGTCATCTTTCCGATTAACTGCTGGCTTCTGTTTTATATTCCTGGTCATTAGTCTGAGAAAAGTCTTGCATGGCTCACCTGCCCGATTGTGATGATGACTGTGGTTATATGAACTTTTCATTTGAATATTATCAAACTAGTTGTATTGTCAGGGATGTTTATGGTCTTTGCAATGGCTCTGTAGCTTTTTCCATTTGAGTGCTGTGTAATAATGTTGTTCCTGAGAACTTTAGGAAGCTCCTGCTCCTTCACCATGACGGCCTCTTGTTGCGTCTTCCAAACCAATAGCAACGTCTTTTATGATAACAACAGGAGGAATTTACACATGAACACTTTTGTTTGTATTTTTAAAAGCAGGTTAAAGATCTTCTACTTAAAATTTGGGAAGTGTTAACTACAGATCATGGTGCACTACCCTCCCTGCCCACTTTGTCTGGAACCCCTCTCTTGTAGGGGTTTCTGGCCACAGAGCTGCTCTTGTCTCTACATTTTTGGGTGGAGTTCCTCTCTCAACCTGTCAGCAGTGACAATGACGTGTAGATAACATCCGGTTATTAACAATCATGTGATCAGAAACAACAGTAAATCTGGACCAAAAACAGTTCTATTATTTGTATCTATTTCTTCATGTCTATTCATTTCAGGGCATATGTATTAGATTTATTTATGCATTTATTATTTGTATTTTTCATGTTTTTTATCTTCCTTTTCATGATTATTTATTCATTTATTTATTTACAACCTCTACAGAACAGTCACATATATTTCACATGTGAAATGACTTACAACCACTTGTCATCACATGGATGTGCCCTGATTATTATTATTAGTACTATACTTACTTATTATTGTATTTAGTAATAGCAATAGCAGCATTTTGCACTATTGCATGAATTCTATTTTACTTTTTAAAAAAACTTTTTTTTTTACCACTCATCTACTAAATTCTAAGAAATTTCAAATGAATTATAAAAGACATGAAATGATCTGTGCGTATTAGACAAAATAATTCTGATTTGAAAAAAGATGAATAAGGGTTTAGTCTATATTACAGACACTCAACCAATTACAGAAACCAGTGTTGACCAGAGATCATTCACGTGGCGGATCATTCTCAGCACAGCAGTGACACTGACGTGGTGGTGGTGTGGTGCTGGTCAGGCGTCGAGCTTTGGTGAAATTTTTTTTTTCAAAGCCAAAGAAATCTATTTTCAATGGAAACGTGAGCCAAAGAGCACATAGACAAAAGCATGGAAAACCTAGTGTAGATGACCCTGGATTCACAGAAGAGCAGAATAAATGTCTTCCTTTAATATTCAGTAGTTTCTTTACAGAAGTGTCCTCACTGTACGGCCTTTAACTCCTTCAACTACCTTTTAGTAATGTCTTCTAGGCAAACACCAGAGGGCACTGTGGAGTCATAGTTTGTAAATGCTCAAACATTTTTTATGCAGAAGAAAACATAAAAGCGCTCAGTAGCAGTAATGCCAACCAATCAGCGCTCAGTAGCAGTAACGCCAGCCAGTGAGCACTGAGTAGCAGTAATGTTAACCAATCAGCGCTCAGTAGCAGTAATGCCAACCAATCAGCACTCAGTAGCAGTAACGCTAACCAATCAGCGCTCAGTAGCAGTAATGCCAACCTATCAGCGCTCAGTAGCAGTAATGCCAACCAATCAGCGCTCAGTAGCAGTAATGTTAACCAATCAGCACTCAGTAGCAGTAATGTTAACCAATCAGCGCTCAGTAGCAGTAATGCTAACCAATCAGCGCTCAGTAGCAGTAATGCCAACCAATCAGCGCTCAGTAGCAGTAATGCCAACCAATCAGCGCTCAGTAGCAGTAATGTTAACCAATCAGCGCTCAGTAGCAGTAATGCCAACCAATCAGCGCTCAGTAGCAGTAATGCCAACCAATCAGCGCTCAGTAGCAGTAATGTTAACCAATCAGCGCTCAGTAGCAGTAATGTTAACCAATCAGCGCTCAGTAGCAGTAATGCTAACCAATCAGCGCTCAGTAGCAGTAATGCCAACCAATCAGCGCTCAGTAGCAGTAATGCCAACCAATCAGCGCTCAGTAGCAGTAATGTTAACCAATCAGCGCTCAGTAGCAGTAATGCCAACCAATCAGCGCTCAGTAGCAGTAATGTTAACCAATCAGCGCTCAGTAGCAGTAATGCCAACCAATCAGCGCTCAGTAGCAGTAATGTTAACCAATCAGCGCTCAGTAGCAGTAATGTTAACCAATCAGCGCTCAGTAGCAGTAATGCTAACCAATTAGCACTCAGTAGCAGTAATGCTAACCAATCAGCGCTCAGTAGCAGTAATGCTAACCAATCAGCACTCAGTAGCAGTAATGTTAACCAATCAGCGCTCAGTAGCAGTAATGCTAATCAATCAGCCCTCAGTAGCAGTAATGTTAACCAATCAGCGCTCAGTAGCAGTAATGTTAACCAATCAGCACTCAGTAGCAGTAATGTTAACCAATCAGCGCTCAGTAGCAGTAATGCTAACCAATCAGCACTCAGTAGCAGTAATGCTAACCAATCAGCGCTCAGTAGCAGTAATGCTAACCAATCAGCACTCAGTAGCAGTAATGTTAACCAATCAGTGCTCAGTAGCAGTAATGCTAACCAATTAGCACTCAGTAGCTGTAATGCTGACCAATCAGCGCTCAGTAGCAGTAATGCTAACCAATCAGCACTCAGTAGCAGTAATGTTAACCAATCAGTGCTCAGTAGCAGTAATGCTAACCAATTAGCACTCAGTAGCTGTAATGCTGACCAATCTCTCTCTCTCTCTCTCTCTCTCTCTACCCGGGGCGTGTTCTCTTACTGTCAGTTAGAGGAAGAGAACATGTAATCTGATCAGGCATGTGCAGTGAAAGAGAGATAACACAGACGGGTATCCGCTGAGGGAGGGACCTGTTCTTTGCTATCTGTTCTCTCTGCTTCGTTTCGTTTTCCACTGTAAGCTGAATGTTCTGTGTCCTGCCTGGTCTGCTTGTTTAGCTGTGAGGTGAGTACCAGCTGCTGCAGCACATCAGAGCATTCTAGTACAGCTACTGTACATGCTTAAAAATGATGGTCCCTTAAGGGTTCTTTAGCAAAGGCAATAGTTCTGTTTAGAACCATCAGTTCTATATGAAGCCATTTGCATGCTTAAATGGTTCTCTGCATGGTGGAATGGTTCTTCAGATTGATGGAGAATGTGCTGTATATGGTCCTATCTAGAACCTTTTTCAAAGGTTGCACCAAAAGCACCAAAAAGGGTTTCTGCTACTGTATTGATGTTAAAAGCTTGACATACAACACATTCCCCGTCAGTCCGAAGAGCTATTTTGCCATGCAAGGAACCATTTAGGGATGACACGGTTCTATACAGAACTCATGGTTGCAGACAGTTTGCGTGTATGCAGACTGGCTGCTGATCATCTGCAGGAATACATCTGCAAAATGCTGCACTCAGTCCTGTTTTAATAGAAACTAGACAGACTGCCTGACGCAGAGGCTGGGGGTGTTTACTTTGTTCAGGTTTTAATAACGCTGGGTACGCAAGTTGCTTAGAAAGAGCTCTGTTTTTTTTCTGTCTCTCTTTCTCTGTTACTCTTTAATGTTCTGCTCAACCGTAGAACACATTTTGAGTCACTATACATGCCACTAAGTGCCATCTCAACCATTTGGTAGACGTGAATATTTTTAAAATTGTGGGGTCAAAAAACCAGAAAAAAAAAAAACATTGTTTTTCTTATTGCCTCAAACCAAATAAAATAAAATATCCATTGCTTTTTTTTGGTGAGGACATTAAAAGGTTATGTAAATTAATCTGACAAGTCAATATGTCGATCTACTAAGTCAATATTTGAAAAAAAAGAGGCCATTATTAGGACACACTGAGTCAAGACTGCTGCCTGAAACAGAGAAAGAGAAAAACTCCCAGGCGTTTATTCAATTCAATTCAATTCAACTTTATTGTCATTATACTGAAACAGGGTTGTACAGTACAACGAAACACTTTTAGGCTAGATCTCCAGTGCAATTACAGACAACATAGTGCAGGACAGGACATAGTGCAAGACAGGACATAGTGCAGGGACATAGAACAATAAATACAGAAAATAAATACAAGTATATACACTGCAGTAGGTGTGCTGGTACTTTAACACTGTTAATATAACAGTAGGTGCAATAGGGTATGTAGAGGGCAGGGAGCAACAAACTATGGGTTAAAGTGCATGGTGCATACAGTCTCTGAGCTGATGGCGATCTTAGGGATAGTAGGGGGAGGACAGAGGTCAGTCTGTTAATCAGGTTGAGGTTGGTGTGAAGTAGTGTGAACAGAGGTCAGTCTGTATGAGTTCAGGTTGAGGGTAGTGTAGCTGGTGACACCAGTTTAACAGCACGGGGGAAAAAGCTGTTTCTGAGTCTGGTGGTTCTGGCTCTGATGTTTCTGTACCTCCTTCCAGATGGCAGAGGCTGGAACAGCGGGTGGCTGGGGTGTGTGGGGTCGGAGGAGATGCAGAGGGCCTTCCTCAGACATCTCTTGCTGTAAAGGTCCTGCATGGGTGGGAGGGCAGCCGCGGTGATGCGCTGGGCAGTTTTCACCACTCTCTGCAGGGCCTTGTGTTCAGCAGCAGTGGCACTGCCATACCAGATTGTGATGCAGCTGCTCAGAATGCTCTCCACAGTGGATCTGTAAAAGTTGCAGAGAAGTTGTTGTGGCAGGTTGACTCTCTTCAGCCGTCGGAGGAAGTGGAGCCGTTGCTGTGCTTTCCTGATGATGTGGGATGTGTTCAGTGACCCGGTGAGATCCTCAGAAATGTGGACCCCGAGGAACTTGAAGCTGCTCACTCTCTCCACCGTCGTCCCCTCGATGCTCAGCGGTGCATGCACTCTGCTCCCCCGCCTGAAGTCAACAATCAGCTCCTTGGTTTTGCTGACGTTGAGGGAGAGGTTGTTGGCAGTGCACCATTCAGCGAGGAGCTTCACTTCTTCCCTGTATGCTCCCTCATCATCGTTGGTGATGTTGCCGATGACTGTAGTGTCGTCAGCAAACTTGATGATGGTGTTGGTGCTGTGCTTGGCAGAGCAGTCTTGGGTGTACAGGGTGAAGAGCAGGGGTGAGAGTACGCAGCCTTGTGGGCATCCGGTGCTGAGTGTGAGGGTGGGGGAGGTGTGGTCACCCATTCTGACAGACTGTGGTCTGCCAGTGAGGAAGTCCATGATCCAGTTGCAGAGGGAGTTAGTTATTCCAAGGATGTTGAGCTTGGAGACCAGTCTGGATGGGATGATGGTGTTGAAAGCGGAGCTGAAGTCAACAAACAGCATTCTGACGTATGTGTTTGTTCCCTCCAGATGGTTGAGTGCGGTGTGCATTGCCAAGGCGACAGCATCGTCCGTAGATCTGTTTGCCCGGTATGCAAACTGGTGTGGGTCCAGGGTGCTCGGGAGGTTTATTTCAGTTCTGTATCTGCAGGGAGTGAACGCTCCTTTATTCAAGTTCAGTTTTCATTCTTCTCTCGGTTCAGAATAGCGTGCATGCAATAATGGGATCAAACAACACTCAAAATTCATCAGTTTGCTTTAAATTTTGTAAGATTTTCTACTCTGTGCTCATTGGTTGTGATCAGTGGAGCCATTAGCCATGAGTACATTATTAGTTTTCAAAGTATTTACTTGTTGGTCTTTAAATGAGAGTGAATTGCAGCGTGTTAAAGAAACGGTTCATTGAACGGTTCATTTTCCCCTTGTTTCCTCGTGTGATGGGGAACCACCAGACTTTGAATTATTAGTATAATAGTCAATAAATAACTCATCATACATCATTTCTTTCTGGCTTTTCTCAGTGAATTCTCCAGGTTTGATCATGAGCACCCACCTTTGGACTTCCATCCTGTTGCTCACCACCTGTGCAGGTGAGTGACCGACTAGAGGCCACAGTTTAAAAATGATCTTTGTTGTCCTTTTTATATTTTTATATTTAAAATATTTAAAATGCTGTCCAACAGTCAGACCACCCTTCATTTATAGAATGTCCTGTCAAAACAGCCATTAAGTGCAAGTCATTCACAAGAAGAAGCACGAAGCACACCTTTAACAGAGAACTGTACAGAAAACAGTTTCAGATTTAGAGTCAGTATATAAAGCCTCTCTCCACATCTCAGATGTGCAGTTTCGGTTTTCTAGTGGAGATGTTTCTCATTTTGTGTCCGTCTCCTTTTCTCAGTGAGGTTCTTCTTTACAGCTACACATCCTTTCAGACCCACAGCGCTGAGTCGTCTTCTCACAGTGGAAGGATGGACAGAAACACCTGTGGATGTTTTCAGATCTGATCAGCTTGATTTTCTCCTCTCTCTCAGAGATGAAAGATTTAAGTGCTGTTTATCTGATGGGGCAGTTTTGGGGTCTACCAGGTCTTCCAGGTGGTTGTTAGGAGGAACATTTTCTCTGTAGATTTTAATCAGTTTTTGAAAACCAGTTTTTAATCTCCTGTTTTTTCAGTTATTTTCCTTTGATTTTCTCTTTTCTTATGCAAGTGAATTGTTTTATATGTAGTCTCATAAATTTCTCCTTTTTGTGAGGCAGCTGAAGTGAGGTTTAGGTAGTTGTTTGTGTGAATGTTGTCTCATTGAAGAAGAGTGTAAAGTCACTGAGATCTTTGGGCGCAGCTGTAACTGGTTGGTTTTGAGACTGAGAGGATGGAAGAGTTAAAATGGCAGTAGTATCATAAATGTAAAGAGTGGACAAATTAAATATTGATAGAGCTGGTATTATACTAAATGTTGGAGGCCTCTGTGTAATTTTCCTGACACTGAATTCTGGAAGACTGGACATTCAATAAACAAAAGAGTGGTCTCTGACTTTGGCACTGTATTGTCTTTAAGTTCATACACTGACCTTTTAAATGTTTTGTGTTTTATATGTTATCCAGGCTCTGTATCTGCACAATCTAGAATCTTCATGTCTGCTACAGTGGGTTCCTCAGCTCTTCTTCCATGTGACTGGAGAAACAGAACCAGCCAGCCAAACTCCTCATGTTGAGTGGAGAACCATTTCTGAGACGGTGTTTGAGCGAAGGGGTGGGGAGCTGTATCAGGGTGAGGGGTATGAAGACCGTGTGGACGTTCCTGAAGATCACCTGCTGAAGGGGGACTGTTCACTGGTGCTGAAGAACGTCAGACCTGAGGATGCAGGAGTTTATGAAAGTTTCCTGCTGGTGAGACGAAAGAAGAGATCTCTGACTTCTAAAAGAGTCTTCCTCCAGAGCGTGGAGCTCTCAGTAGATGGTAAGCAGATTAAACTGTGGTCCTTCAGAGTCTACAGAGTTATACAGTGAATCATTTGTGTTTTTCCAGAATTTGATATTGTAATTTAGTTTAAGATGAACCAAACCTTTAATTGGGGTCTTTTTTAAATGATAATTTCTTTAATTTCCACACAGATGTTCCAGAGGAGAGTCACAGTGAAAATAAAGCAGCAGCACGTGAGTGAATGTCTTGTCTAATTTAAGTCTTTCTTGTTGTACATTTATTCTTTTTTAAAGCTGAATATAATTTGTCATTTTCAGCCTGAAAATGTATTATTTGTATGTTTTTGCTTTTCCCACAAAAATAATTCAGAAGTTAAGTCAATATTAATCAAGTGAGTCAAAACATCACTTATTTATTGTATTTATTTATTTTCTATTTTTATGAAAATGGTTATAAAAGTCAAAACAGAATTTGAATTTTTTATGAGTTCCAGTGCTTCCAGGCTACTAGCCATCTGATTTTAGCATTTCCAAGAAAACAAATAGTCAAACTATTATTAGTTCACATTCTATTGGCCTTTGTTTAATAACACATGACGTGCAAACCTTTAGGCAGTACAGACTAACACATGGTTCCTCTGGAGCTTTTTGAACTCTCACACATTTAATACAGAGCAGCCTAATGATACAAAATGATAGATAACTGAACTGAAGCTTATTATGGACACATTCAGAGAAGAACCAAGTCACTGGAAAAGATGATAATGCTTGGAACAGTTAAAGGTAAAAGAGGAGGACGACCAGCTACAAGATGAGTGGATACAATCAGAGGAGTCAGGAAACAGCCATTCAGAAGCCTGAAGACCCAAACACCATCCATATGGTTTACAGGACTTAATAATGCTGTGTTTACATGTTGGCGTTGGAAAAGCTTTGCAAGCGGATTGTATTTAACAGTTCAAGAATTGATTGGCTGAAGCAGAGCAGAGGAAAAAAAAAGAAAAAGGGAAACCAAGCAACAAGGACTGACACAGAGGAAGACAAACCTACAAAGGGCTGAAATATAATCTAGTGGTTCAAATGACAGAAACAAACAGACACCAAGCAACCACAGGGATATGAATACAC